TAAATGTTACACACCGGACCTTCAACAACATATTCTTTAAATAAAAAAAATTTCGTCACGTAAACAAAGGTAATGCTTTACACATAGGTGGACTGTTCAGGAAAAAGGTTGGTCATGGAATCAAAACAATGTTTCTGTGTGTAATCATATAAAAGTTGTCCCTCAGGAGGTAGCCCTGCTCCTGTCTGGAAATGAGCTGTAGACGACAGCCTTAAACAGACAGCTGAGAGTCCAGAGAGCTGGCCGTGACACGCTGCTGCCGCTCTGGATCTCAGTTGACACCATAAGTCAATGAAGGGCTATTTAGATGTCGAAGCTGTTTGGGGACTAGTGTTAACAAGCACAAAGGGTCCACTGAGTGAGCCAGAGAAGGTGTCGCCGAGCTAATAGAACAAAGAGCGCTCTCCACACCCAGCACTCCTATAGCTCTTCCTTTTTAACCATTCACACTCTCACTTTGCTTTTTTTTTTTCACTGTAATTACACCTGCTCTGCCACGCGTAGCTCGAGGCGTGGCTGCGCAAAATCACTCGTTAATATAAATCTGCCGACTGTGCGAGGAGAAGGACTACTCACTGACAGTCTCTGTGGAAACACTGGGTTGTAAGCAGCCTGCACCTGTGTGTCCCTCCTGGGACCAAGAGGTAAGGAAGCCACACTTTGGGGAATAGTGTGTGAAGTGAGACCATCCATTTTCAAAATGAACCTGCAACAATTACAAATCGGAGCGAGGAAACAAGCGCTTGTTACTAGCAGCCTTCGGGCTGTTTAACCAGTTGAAATCAACCTGCAAAATCCCAATCGTACAAGGATGTCAGAGAGCCAGAAATGGAGGTGTGATCATCAGAATAGAAGCCTGAGAAAGACACCTTGAATAGTGAGAATAATAGAATTAAAACTAGCAGCCTATTACAAACTACACACTCCTTATCTCCAAGATTGGCAATGCTGTTTTTGTCTCCTAGACAAAGAGATTTCCAGGCGGGAAGTGCGAAACTGAAGGTGTGACGACACGTCTTCAGCTCTCTGAGACAGTGGAGCGGCTGCTGTGTTTGTCAGGAGACATACAGAGCATTAACACCAGCCAGAGCACCAGACCAGACAGATAGTGTTACACAGCGCTTCCCTTCCTCATGTCAAACGAGCGTAATCACACACATCCAGAGACAGAATCAGAATTATGGCAGCTGAACCCCCCCACTCCCACTGAAATACAAAGATATGCCATGACGACGGACCGTGTTGCCATGTGATACAGTGAGGGGTAATCTGTGCACAAGCCATGCTGTTCTACTACAAATGACATGTAGCTGCAGGCTACGCAAGGCCGGTTGTTAGAGATGTGTTTGTGCAAAGGAGTGAGGAGCTGGAGGTAGAAGGAAATTATTATCTATCTAGATGCTCTTCAAAAAAAGGACCAAGGAAGTTCAGACACAACAAACATCATTAATTTAGACTGCCAGACAACAACATGCATAGTATACTCCTATAAGGAATAGTAATCTATTACTAATCCACACTGTACTGGACGACATGAAAAATTATAATTGACAGTTGGGTAGAAACACTAATGGAAAACACTTCTTCCAAGCTCCCATAAAACAGGGTTACCTGAGAAGCAAAGCCGCCTGAGCTCATTTCCATAATACCTCTGTGTGCCCCATGAGAATCTCGGGTTCAGTTTGCCTTCATTAGCATGTGCCACGAAACAGCATATACCATTTTATTCCCTTTTTTTTTGCAGCTGGAGTATATTGAAAGGTTTGCAGTGTATGCTGGAGTCTGTGGGTGCGAAACCTGCCCACTGGCTGCAGCTCACAGACATTATTTTGGGGGAATTTACTGCAGAGCCAAGGATTTTTTTTTATTAGATTCACAGCAGGAAGCAAATTGGGTGGGAGACAGTTGGCTACTCTCATCACCTACAGACCTACAGATAGGAGAAGCTCATTTAAATTCAGACAGCATGTCATCTATTCAACTTCTCAATTTGAGTTCATTTCCTACCGCAGCAACTCACTTGTTAGCTAAAATAGCGCTTAAAACTGTTAACACAGGGTTTCACACAACTCGCTGACAACCGGGGTAGGAGTTGTGTTTGTCATATGGTTCATGCTAGCTGCCTCAGGAATGAGTCTATCTGCTGTTTCAAAAGCCTTCAGATCCCATTCCTCAGTTTTAAGATTGAATGTCTTTAGTCAAGACACATACCAGCAATCCATTTTATTTAGCTGAATATCGTCACAGAAAAAAAGAGCAATTACATCCACCTACTAAATCCAAAAACTATGCAATGCGCACTATAATCATTCAAAAAAGGCATATTGTATATCACAAATCCACATATTAAAAAGAACAAACTCATAAACAAGCAGTATAGCATTTCTCTGCAGCAGAGGCATAATGAGAGGGATGCAATGACCGGCAGTATGTGTTTTTGACAGGTATTTCACTTAAAAGTCAATGTATTCCATACGTTTATCCTTTAGGAAAAGTAAAAATAGAACATATGACTCTTCGCAACTCTCCAAAAAAAAACCAAAAACAACAACCCTTCACCATGATTCACTGTCCATGCAGTTGACATCACAGCTGCCAGGTACTTGTATAGGACATGCGGCAGTGGGGCAGAATGGAAGTTGTGAGAGGGGTTAATTAGGAGCCATGACAGATGTCAAATCTCAATAGCATCGTGGGGGGAAAGGGGGAAGGGGAGGAAGACTTTCATGCAAATCTTAACAGTATAAGTCATTTGATATCTCACTGTGGGGTCCAAGACAGTGTCCCGTCCTCTCTCACACATCCGAATTGATGCTCAGGTTGGCCAAACGCGGGTCAGAGTTTATCTCGTACCTGTAATGGTACCCTTCCATGTGGTCCCTACAAGCATCTCGGATGTTGTACATCCACCGCTTGATGCCTTTCCTGTTCAGGTAGAGCACCAGCAGGAATATGACGCCAATCAGAGCCAGAACCAGCCCCAGGAAAACATAAGAAGTCTCCAGCACGCCCTCCATGTCGCCCGAACACTTCAGCTGCGACTGCTCTACCTGCAGGAGCGGCTGGCGTCTCAGGGCCTCGGGCTCTGCACAGGTCAGGTTCTGCACGTCGACGACCTGGGTGGAGTTTTTCAGCCACGACAGCGTGTCCTCGATGAAGCAGTCGCAGCGCCAGGGGTTCCCCGCCAGCCGGATGCGGAGGCCGGGCTTGAGGCTGAACTCTGCCTGGGTGGTGGTGGACAGATCCCTCAGGCTGTTGTCCCTCAGGTCAAGGTCACGCAGCAGCGGCCCCTTCAGCGTCCCGTTCTGCATGGAGATGATGGAGCTGTTCTGCAGACTGAGGTTGACCAGGTTGGAGAGGCTGGTGAATATGGTGTCTGGAAGAATCACAAGGTCATTGTTGGACAGGTCCAGGACCGTCAGCTGGAGGAGGTTTCCACTCTGCAGGACACCCAGGACCTCATCCATGAAGGAATGGTTGTTTAAAGACCTACTCAGATTGAGGAACTGCAGTGTATTATTGTGAGGGAAAGCTCTTTCACTGAAACTCTGGAATTTGTTGTTGCTCAGGTCCAGCCGCACAAGGTTTGGCAAGTTGTCAAATACCTCTGCATCCACAGACTCCATCTCATTCCCACTGAGATAGAGATCTGTTAATAGTTCCAGGCGGTTTGGGAAAGAGTCCACACTAATATGGGAAATATTGTTTCCTGTGACGAACAGGAATTTGGTGTTGTCCGGCAAATCCTGCGGAATCGTGTCCAAGTCCTTGTTTTGGCATTTCACAGTTTGTGAGAAGCACAAGCATTTGTCCGGACAGCCGTCACAGGACAGTGCGACCGCAAGGAGGAAGAGCAAGTACATCATCCCAGACTTTTGTGCTTTCCCTCGGATTTCTCCGCGGTTGCATCCGCACGAGGTGCTCAACAGGCGCATCTTGCACTGTAGAAATCTGTCGGCGCAGACCGTGCGTAAAGATTACTTTACAACAATCCAAGCCCGTCACCGCCTTGTTCTTCCACGGGAAACAAGGAAAAGTTTTTCAACTATGTTTCCCGACTGTATCCTTTCGAAAGCTGCTCCCACTTCCAACTCAGCCTCCATATAACTACCCCCAAACCATCCTCGTTTAGGATAAGTCTACATTTCCATGACGATAATGGTGATGTGGACGACGCTTGCAAACTTCTAACGTTACGTTGTCTTCTTCCTTTGTTATCCACACCTCAGGCGCGTATATATGTATGTGCACAGGCTGCACGGTATTTTACAGTCCCGATAAAACAGTGAAGTCCGGCTCAGAATGTAAAAATCGACAGATAACTTACTCGTGCTACTGGTTCCGAGACGGTGCCATGCATTTGGTACGTGCGACCAGCTTGTCGCTCTCCTAAACGTAGGGAGTCTGGAGGGAGAGACTAAACACAGCAGCACAGTGCAGACCACTGGAAGGAGGGAGCATACCATTGTTCAGCAAAAGGGGGGTGAACTGAAAACTCCTCTAAGTTCATTTACAATTTAATTTAGATTCCCCACTCATGGCGATGCCACACGTGTTTTTTACATTAATCTTAACTCGACTGTCAACCATCTTATTGTAGAAATCGCAACTAGTTTCCCTAAAAATGAAGTGTGCCGGTGGTGACTTGAGGGCCAGGGACCTCCAGGGCTCCCCGAGGGAGCTCCAGTGACGTCCCAAGAAATGTGAAGAACAACTCAGCGTCACTCCGAGATGAGGCAGCAGTATAGTATGTAAGCAAGTATATATCTTCTGATCACACGTTTACACAAAAAGTGATGATATTTATACAGTTCCATAATACATCATTACCAAGCACAAAAATGTTTGCAGTTGGCGTTTCTTGAAATAAAATATATTGACGTGATGTTGTTATGGCTCAACATGTAGGGAGACAAAAAGGTTTGTGGGTAAACCAGTTTGATGTGTTGGGCCTATCACAAGACAACACAAACCCCATTTGGTGAGCTGTTGTCTCAGTGGAAATAACAACGGGCCTAAAGGAATGAAAAACAAAAACAGGTGAAGGAAACACAATCATTTTACAGCTATTTATTAAAACATTAAAAAATAAAATCCATTTTAGGATCCTCGAGGATTATAAGGATCTCTGTGCCATACCCAATGGAGGCTGTGAAAAAACATTATCAAGATTTATTGTGTGTAAATGTGTTTGTCCACATGATACAGAACCACATACAAACAAACTTAAAAGCAGAGCAAAGAAAAGATGATTTGTAATCATCTGGATGAAGGTGCCTGGCTCAGATTTGAGGTAAAGGTTGAAAAAAATAAAAATAAAAAGTAAAACCCCATCATCCTTTTATATAAACATGTCCAGTGTGTAACATTTAGGAGGATTTATTAATAGAAGTGGAATATAATATGCATTAGGGTGCTACGTTTTTATTAGTGTATAATCACCTGAGTATGGGAATCGTGATGTTTTTTTACCTTAGAATTAAATGTTTATATCTTCAGCCATGTTGGACTGCAATGTTTCTACAGTAGCCCAGAAGGGACAAACCAAACACTGTTTCTAGATAGGAGCATTGGCGTTGTTAGCGTGTTTCACGGCCACCGTAGTTTCTCCTTTGCGCTTGGAAGGGATGGGAGAAGTGAGGGAGTTGCAATCTGCAACTACACCACTGGAGGCCACTAAATCCTACATCCCTTCTACATATAATATTCAACTATTTCAGATTTGATTTTGAAAACTGCTGAATGTCATTAATTACGTATCCCTCAAACATGGTTCCGTGGCCTCACTTACTTTATCCACAAGTAATAACTAACACTAAGTTAAAAATATAAAAAATTAATATTTTGAACACATTCAGTGATTCTGATTTGAATAGCATTTGACAGTTTCAAGCGTTCAATAACACAATATTATTGTCTTAACAGTGCAATGATTGGATTCCCTTTATCACTTTATGGTCTGTATTTCCACATCTCCTTTTGAGAAATGACTTGAGTGGCGACCTTGTAGTGAAGGCATTGTCTTCTGGATTATGCAGGATTATACTGCTGAGAAGCAACACTGTGGATGCGTTCATGCGTGACGGAGGGCGTGCTCATCAATATGTCATATTTGGAAGCCCCGGTCTAGATCCCAGTGTAACCCTAGCTTTAACCTCCTTTGACTCCTTCCTATTCTTAGCCTGGGCCAATGTGACAATCATCTGAGTAACTCCATGAAACCTGGATCAAGGCTGAAAGTGATACCCAATGTATAGCTATGAGACTATTGGAACTGACATGATGTTCTTGTGGCACATCTAAACTTTTTACATCCACCTTTCATACCCACTCCACTGTAGTTGTGGCATGCTTCAAAAGATTCTGTTCTGGGTGGAACATCAAGTAATTCTTATTCTCTATAAAGTGAAAGAAAAAAGATTTGTGCAGAAATTATTTCAAAACAACTCTTATACCTTTCCTCTGCTATTGTGATACTATTGTATGTACATTGTACTCTTTTTATTGCACTATATTCCCCAATGCTGCTGTGTGTAATTTGAATTTCTCCTTTGGAGGATTAATAACAGTATATCTTATCTTAATCTATCTTTTCTTGCTCTTAATTGCATCTGAGTGGAAATATAGGCACAGTGAGGTAATACACATTTGTCCATTAAAGAGTGAGCAGTATTAGCAGTTGTAGTTGTGCTTTTATGAAGAATAATGTGTTATTGTCGAGACACACATGAGGTGCAAATTATAACTTATTATACTTGTAAAATAATATTCTTGTTTCATTTAAGATTAATTGACAAGATACATAGCATTTTTATATATTTTTTAAATGTCTATGTTATTTTATAATTATGTTTACAATATAAACTTTAAAGTAAAAATCAAATCCACTGTCCTATGACATCATAGATACAGCAACAGCACACTGAGCACAACGAACGCCCCAAGAACCAACCAATAGGATGTCGGCATACACACGTCCCGACCAATCAGAAGTCTCGACATTAGCGAGGCGTTTTACCTAACCTGCAGGGTTTCAGGCGTCCAGTCCTGTCAAAATCTGCACCAGTGCAAAAAGCCGCTAGCGTCTCGCTTTTGTAGTAATGACACAGAGGATGTACGTCGTTGATGCAGCTGTCTCCATGTCCTGTTGTTTCTTTATCTAGCGGAAGGTAAGAAACGATGGACGTTACCGTCAGTCTGCAGCGGAGCTAACGTGAACGGCGGTGATGTGTCAGTGGAGACAGCTGCCAAGTGCAGTTAGCTAGCGCTAGCTAACAACTCTCTTTGAGCCCATTCCTCTGTTGTTACTTCCCCCAACACCGAGGTGGATAACGGTGGTTAGCTGAAAATACATAGCAAATTATGATGTGTGTCCGTTTCCTGCTTGTGTACTATGAGCTAATACTGAAGTAGCTTGCAGCTGGCTAGCAAGTCAGTCACCTAACGTTAACTCAGTGGGAAATATGATCAGTTAATGTTATTCCGATGAAGAATTAGGTTCATAATGTCTTCAACACGCAGTTGTTTCACGCAGAACCCGACTATGGATTGAATGTAGTGTTGTAGCCGACACAGAAACTGAAGAATCTCATGTTATTCGGCTAATTTAGCATGTTACATTATCCTGCTGTTTAGTCCACATTAAGAACCTCCCTTATTAATGTCTGTGCATTTTCTTCACAACAACAGCACCCAAATGCAAACTAACGTTACATGTAAAGTTTAATTTGAATAGCCTCCTATCTTATTTGCTCAGCTCAAAAGCTGTGTAGCGAACCGGCCCACTCAGCTGAAGGCTGTAATGAGGCCGGACTCACTCTGACCTTTGTGCACTTTAAGATCTCCTCACACTACTGCATCCTGCACACACAGCTGTACTCTTATTGTGCAAGTACACAAAGTGTGAATGTTGGTCATTGTTTATCAGTGATAACTCTGGACATTTCTTCCCCAGGTGCACTCTACAATTATGGAGTTTTGAAAAGAAAAGTGAGAATTTGGGGGGGAAAGGGGGCCTTTCCCCTCAAGTTTGATGGTTGGACTGCTGGACGAGAAGGTCAGAGGGTTGTTGAAATTGTTGCCTTTTGTAAATTAGTAAAGAGTATATAAAGGAGAAACTATTTTTGCAACGGTTAATATGTACAATTTTGTATAAAAAGCACAAGAGGTTTTGTATTTATTGAATTCTTGATGCCACTGTATGCTGCAAGCACCTTAGTTTGTGTTCAATACTAGGTTGAAATGGTGGACTGAAGTCGCACAAAGGCTCTGGAGTCGCTAGGGTGCGGTGGAACCTCAACACAAGCACAATTCTAGCGCTCCAAACCATCTCGACCTTTTGTTGACACATTTTTTTTTCTTCTTCTTCTTGAAAAGCAGCTCTTACAGTTTATTTGTTACCTCACATTGTGTTTGAGTTTGTTTGCAATTGCGGGTGGTGGGCTGTCAGAAGGACTTTGTAATACATACGGGAGGTGGGTTCACTGTGAAGATTTGGTGGAGGTCAGGATGAGTCTGGCACCGCCGGACTGCACCCCGAAATGCCGCTCACAGAAGCACGCAGACGAGGTGGTAGCGGCGCTGACGGGCGGCTCTGAGGGGCAGCTGCGGGCCTTCTTGACTTCACACTGCTACAATGCGGCCACCTTGCGAGACGCCTTTGGTCGCACTGCCCTGCACCTGGCAGCCTCACTGGGAAAGAAGGCCCTACTGGAGTGGCTGCTGGACAGCAAAAGTGCTGACCTGATGGTGAAGGATAAGGAATCCGGCTGGACCGCTCTGCATCGCAGCGCGTTCTACGGACAGATTCACTGTCTCATATCGCTGGTCAAGGTTTGTATTTACCAGTCCAGGTTATTAGTCAAATAATGCAATAATATGAAAGTGTCATAAAAGGAAATGCCAATTTTATACTTATACTTTTTTTCCCTCGACATTGTTTTAGCATGCTGGACTCCTCTCCACCCAGGACAAGGAGGGTCTCTCTGTCCTGGACCTTACGATGAAGGACCGACCAGCACATGTTGTGTTCAAAAACACTGGTAAGAAACTGACTTCTGCTCTTAAATTCAGAAGGGACTTCCAACGTGCATGGCGCTGGTGTCCTTCACCATTCCAAACAATCTTTTTTTGTTCAGCTTGTTGTATGACATTGCTGAAGTGAAGGGTGTGGTTTTGTTTTTGCAGAGTCACAAGCTTATTAGCATCATGACTCATTCTGTTTAATGACGCATCTCACACTTGGACATGCATCGGATTTAATTCTCCCTGTACTATGTCACATGTCTTTTGTAGCCATTATGATTTGTGCCTTTCACATTACATACCAAAGGACTTTCTGAAAGACTGGATGGAGGATGTAGTACCCATTGTTTATGAACAGAAGATCTGGTTTCTGGTTTATTCTATTTCATCTTATTTATAATCTTCTATCTAAATATTATTATTATTAACTTAAAATCCTATTTAAATCTTTGTTTTCATAACGTCTTTGTATATTGCTTTGTTTTTATTCTCCTAGTGTCTTTGTGTCTTGTGATTGAAAGGTGCTACACAAATATACTTGCTTTGCCTTCTTTTAATGGCAGAAAAATGGAGGCAGTGTTGTGGCTGTGCTTTTCACTGTGTTTTCTTCCTCATTACAGACCCAACTGAAGTGTACACATGGGGAAACAATACTAATTTCAGTCTCGGGCATGGTAATCAGGAGAGCCGACAGCACCCTGAGCTGGTGGATGTGTTTGCCAGGACTGGAGTTTACATCAAGCAGGTAGGCTAACAACCCCTTGTTGCTGTCTCAGAACTCCAGGGAGTAAGTGTTTTCCTACACCAAAGGGCTTCCCTACCCTGAAAACCCCACTTGCATGTGTCACATCAGCAATGGCCTCATGCTTCAACTCCCTGCCAATGTGTTACATAAAAAAAAAAAAAAAGCCAATGCACATGGGTACTCCAGATAAGGCGCACCACCTGGGTAAACCAGCAAAACACTCCATCCCCAGAGTCCTGTATTACACAACCTTTTCCTCAGGGTAAATCACCATTTGTGAAAAATTTATTTTTTTTCCTCCGAACATGGCTCATACTGGCTCATATTTTCTCTAGGTGAAACCACAGACGTAGACATATGGGCTATGCTTGATTTTAATTGTCCTTTTGATAAATAAATGAAGTTAGTAGTGGTACAGCGTTACATCATTAGGCATACCGTAATAAACCTTGGATTTGGTAGGTGGGGGCTATCAAGAAACCATTGTTGATGTGAGTCAAACGGGGGGCATAGTTGGTGTGTGAGCCATGGACCGATTGGCTTTGTCTTCTCCTGTGTAGTCTTAATTTGTGACTTTGTTGAGCCGATCTGTGCACGGTTAAACCATGCGGCCAGACTGCGCCAGCCTGGCTACAATTTCATGCGTTTGTCATGTGGGTGCTCTTAGTGTGATTAATATAGCTACTGGCAACAGTGCAACCACCCCCAGTGGTGCGTGTACACACCAGGTGCTAGTTATAGTAGATTAAGTAATGCCAAACGACTGTGTTAGACATGCTATCATTTTAATCTATTCTCCAGACTTGGCATTCGTATGTGGTTTGTGTATTTGTTAAGTAATTATGAATTTGGGCTTTGTGTCAGGATATTATTGGTGTTTACAGAAGAAACCCTCTGTTTGAGGTGTTTTTTTTCTGCCCTGCAGGACTTGTCATGCAGAGTAATTTCATAAAGCCTAGTGGGGGGCAGATGGATCTCATTTCATGACCACACAATGACCCAGTGGCACTGCGTATAGTCTTTGTCTTCCTAGCCCAATCCAGCAGGTGCCAGAGGTTAAATATTAATTCCACAATGACATGTTTTTAATTAAATGAACTACACTGGTGTGTATGCATGTGTGTGACTGTCCACATCAATGTGATACTTCAGGAAACATCCCTGCTCTCTGTTGAAAGCTTGAGGGGCGCAATGTATTAGTAATGATGTTTGCTTTTCCACTTGTGCCTTGGCCTTTTATTGGCATAGTGTTTTACTGTCACTACAAGAGGGCCTGGCTGAGGGACATGGAAAGAGATGCATCGCAGCCTCTGCCATGAGGTCAAAATTATAATGACAACAGCCTTAATCAGCATTAACTTCAGACTGTTTTTTTTCCTTGGATATATAGTATTTTACATCTAAAAGCAAAAACAGAAACATCACTATGTTCATGTTTAACCACCTCTTCTCCTTGTAGGTGGTCCTGTGTAAGTTCCACTCTGTGTTCCTGTCTCAGAAAGGCCAGGTCTTCACCTGTGGACATGGACAGGGAGGACGACTTGGCCATGGAGATGAACAGACTTATCTGGTGAGACTTGTTACAGGACGTTATTTTGGTGTCACAATATGTGCTGTACATTTTTATATACTACATACATACATGCATATAATATACAACTAACCTCAATAAAATAATTATAGACTAGCTTGTAATAAATCATCTCAACATAGTCCGTTGATATCAACTGATGTCATGTTTTTAGATATAGTGAATACAAAATAGGTACAGCACTTTGTGAACAGATTCCTCTGCTTCAGTTTTAAAGTAGAAAGTTCAGTGTGTAGATGTGACAATTGACGATTATGAGTCTTTGTTGAACTGAACTTTTTAAGGTGTAGGTGTGTGTGTGTAGGTGTAGGTGTCAGGTTAACTAGTTTGCAGCAAGCTGTCTTCGTCTCTTGTATTTTTATTTTTGCTGTTGCCGGGAAAAAAGAGAAAACGTGATCAATCTGATTGTATTTGACCGAGAGATTCCAGCGCCAAAGCGTTTTTGGGAGATGTCCAGTTTTAGGCTATTTTAATTGTCTTTTGCCTGTTTTGCCAAACAACATATTGTTTATAGTAAATTAGGGAACCACAACTTTCTTTTAAGGGCACTACAGTCAATTCAAAACAGGGCAGTAGTTAATTTTAACAGGGGCATTATGGCCACATAGTGGGGCATCCACAGCACTGGCTGTTTGGCTGTGGTGCAACTCTTACCCCGCTGTTGGTAAGATTAGTTCATTGTTGGGTTTGGTCCATGGAATTTGTATACAATAAGAAAAATATAGCATATGACCAGACTTGTCTATTTATATTAGTTTACTACAGCAAATGAATTGAGAGGAGCAGAAAACGAGCGGGCTCCTGCTGTGACAGCGCCATTTGAGTGATTGTTGGCAAATACCGTAGTTATAAGTAAGGTAATATTTTACACAGGGTATTGCCCTGGTGCTAAAAATACAGGCATGGGATGCTGTCATGATTAATGTGGAGGGAACTCCATAATCTTCAATGCCTGCTGAGCAGTGAGTTTAGGCTGTTTGAATTTCTGCACACTCAGTTTGTTGTTTCTAATCTTTTTCATTATCCTCTCCTTCTCACTCTTCTCTCCAGGTTCCTCGGATGGTAGAGGGTCTGATGTCCCACCACTGCTCCCAGGTGGCAGCAGCTAAAGATCACACGGTGGTTCTGACAGAAGAAGGCTACGTTTATACTTTTGGCCTCAACACCTTTCACCAGCTAGGCCTGGCTCCTCCTCCCTCCTCAGCATGTGTCCCTAAACAGGTAGGTGGTAACGGGGGAGGGAATGGAAAGTTCCTTCATGTAACAGCATTGTTTTTGTGTTTGATGGTGACTCGTTTTGGTGAATTTTATTGTATGCAAGTTCCTTTTTGAGATGGATTAGCATTTTATACAACCAGTACGTTTCGAAGTTTCAAGTTTAGAATCTGTGTATTCTGTGTAGTTTAGTTTCAGTGTCCTTGTTAATATGCTGTGTTGTATGTAGGTGTTCTCTAAGACGTTGAAAGGCAGGACAGTCATTGGAGTTGCAGCAGGAAGGTTCCATACAGTGCTGTGGACCAGGGAGGCTGTCTACACAATGGGACTCAATGGAGGCCAACTGGGTAAGTCTCAACTTCTAAATGTCAGCAAAGCCAGTGTTACAAGACAAAAATTGTACTGCTTTTCAGATACTTAATGTGACAATTGTGGTAATTGTGTATATAATGGCCTCCGCACACCAACC